ATAGATGTTAGGATGTAGCATCACCAACACCACCATCACCACCATTGTCCCCATCCCTATCACCATCCCTGTCACCATCATCATCATCACCATCACCATCACCATCCCTGTCACCATCACCATCATCATCCACATCACCATCCCTATCACCCATCATCATGACCATCACCTTCATCATCACCGTCACCATCCCTGTCACCATCACCCATCATCATCATCACCATCATCATCCTCATCATCACCATCGCCATCACCATCCCTGTCACCATCACCGGATCACGCATTATCATCATCACCATCATCATCATCATTACTGTCATCATAATCATTATCATCATCATCATCATCATCATCATCAGATAATATTACAGTTGAGTTTTAGCAAACCTTCAAGAAAATATCATTCATTCAGTATTTAAACCGTTTTGTACGTAAAAAAAAATGAAATGTTGTTTCTAAACTCAGCCTTATGAATCTGGCATTACCTTGATACCAAGAAAAGCTAGGAGAGAATAGTGCTAAAAAAAAAAAAAAAAAAAAAAAAAAAAAAAAAACCACCCTGTCAGAGCTCTTTCGTAAAAACAGAGGAGAAGATAGCAAATAAAAGCTCAGCAGATGAATCACTGAGGTCCCCTTTAGTCATGAGGATAATGGCAGGCGCCCTTCACAGCTCTGAGGTGTGGACTGGCACTCCTCCTGCTGCTGCAGGATCACATCTTACCCATCTTTGTGTGAGAACACCCCAGCATGAACCCGGCCCATGAGACTCGTCAACAATCCAGGTGTACTTGGTGTATACACACCATCCTGCAGAGTTTCATCATCACTCATAAAATCTGAACAAACCTTATCATCAGGCCAGGTGATTGAAAGCACTGTGAATCATGTCCAGGACATGACTCAGTGCCCAAAAGTCGTTGATTGGGTCAGTTCCAATTGTTGGTTTGAACTCGTTTTTTAGATGTTGTTTGATGTGTGTCGCTGTAGTCATCTCTCTTAATGGAGCAGGTGTCTGAGATAGAGAGTTGAGGATGCCTCATCATAACAGCATCAGGGAATTTACTCACGACACTAACTGCTCAATTTGTTTCCCTTTCCTGGGGACTCCTAGGGGTGCACTCGCAGGGTAATATCAGCTTGTGGCTGACTTGTGTCCAGTTCTTCCGCCCCATACGTCATCGTTTCTGGATGTTACTCCTCTTCTTAGCCAAATCCTCTGTTTCTTCACTGTCTCTAGCCAACTGCATTGGCATGAGGGCCCATTTGGTCTCAGATACCATCCAGCCTCTCCCTCAATGGTCCATTTGCATTTCATCTTTGATGATTCACTGTGTTTCAGTCCTTTTTATATCTCTGAATCTTCTATCCTTGGATTAAACTAAGATTTAAAAGGCTTTGAATTATTTAATTATTTAAAGGACCTTCCGGATATTTATGCAGTTCTTATAAATAAACCTGTCATCTGTCCGTAGCAGAATTTGCAACTTGCTAGGCGTGTTTTTCACGTGATCATGGGATGCTTTTGAGTTCATTGGCCCGCTCAAGCATGTAAAAAGCCTCACTACACATTTGAACTAAATAGGTTGAATCTGGTTGCATGAGACTGGGGAGGGTGAGGTCTCAGTGTCTCCTGGGTCAACACGAGCAACGGTGGAGCTCGAAGATTTCCAGGCTATTCAGGTGAGGCTGTCTTGAAGGCAGCAGCTGCCAGGATCTCACTGGCAGTGAGGAGACCACAGAGATGGAGGATGTGGCCAAGTGCGGCATGAAACTGCCAGGCACATGGGCGAGTCATTTAAAAACATTGTTTATCCTTCACGAAGAGCTGATGCTTACAGGGGTAGTTTTATTGTGTCATAATAAGTTGAACTGGCCATCCCTATGTAGATTTCATTCTACGGACATGTGTTTGGTATTTTTGCTCCATTTTTGTTTCTCAGAAATTTAGTGAGGATTGCAGTCCTCACTTAATGAAATCCTAAATAACCCAAAAGTATTACTGGTAGCTTTCCAGAATGATAGACTTGATCTCCACCCTGACTTGTTGCTTTTTGTTTCCTGGTAGAACATCCGTCCTGGGCATCTCCTTTGGGACTGCGTTTCTCTTGCTGGCCTTCATCCTCTTTGTCTGCTTTGCTGGACAGCTTCTGGTAGGTATTCAAATGTGGCGCTTCTTTGAAAAGTATGCTATTTCATGAAAGCTGACTTCTTGCCTAAAACTCAGAAACAAGGAGCTTATTGCTTTACCACTTCAAGAACTCCAGATTCCAGTTAAGGAAACATGCACCCTTCAGATCTATAGCCAGAAATATAGACTGGGCAGCTCATGCACAACCAACACACGAATACTAAGATGATTTGAAACGTTTGATGTCACATTATAAGATTGCATTCTTGCTTATTTGGTTCTGTCAATATATTTTATTATTTCCTCTAAGTTTTCAGAGTATCTATAGCAGCATATGCAAATATAATACAGAAAACCAAACACTGCATGTTCTCACTCTATAAGTGGGAGTTGAACAGTGAGAACACATGGACACAGGGAAGGGAACATCCCACACCAGGGCCTGTCGGGGGGTGGAAAAGCGGAGGGAGAGCATTAGGACAAATACTTAATGCATGCAGGGCTTAAAGCCTAGATGATGGGTTGATGGGTGCAGCAAACCACATTGCACATGTATACCTATGTAACAAACCTGCAGGTTCAGCACATGTATTCCAGAACTTAAAGTAAAATTTTTTTTAAAAGTAAACCTAATACATTGTTACATCCACTTTCAAGCTATAAAATGTTGGAGTATTTGAAGAAAACATATGTTAAAATATATTTTATTAATTTAAGCCAATCAGTGTAAACTCTTATGATTTATATGCTAGCTCTGGATATACAGATGAAATCTAAATTTGAAAGTATAAAGCAATGTTGCTAGCTGGCCATGGCTCTATGACAGCGTCCTAAGGAAGCAAACAATGGAAGAGAAGGCTGGGAAGATAAGCCACTGTTTCCTTTCATTCAACGGAGAGGAGCTGGGACGAGGCCACTCTGAGCTTCTCAACAGAGAAGCACTCTAGAATCTCTTTAAATAAATAAAGCAGGAAGTATTAAAATGTTCAAATACATTGACAAACCTACAGTCCTAGTTGGAAATGTTAATATATTCTAACATTGACAGATCAAGTAAGCCAGGCTATTAGGGGTTTGACTAACTCATAAGTCTCCTTCAATAGTTATATTCAGAGAAATACTTTGTTACCAGCATAAGAAATACATATAATTTTCAAAAATTCATAAGACATAGACATTGGACATACTTATCACATCCCAGAAGAAGTGCGTGTGGGGCTTAAAACCTAGATGGCAGATTGATAGGTACAGGAAACCACCATGGCACACTCTTAAGAGAGGCTCCAGACATTTTGTTAAATAAAAATTTTAACGTGATAATAACCTATTATAAAAAATACATAGAAATGTTCTTTCAAATATTTTTCAATGGATGCATTTTATATGAGTTCTGCAATTATAGACTGTAGTGAAGATATTTTCACATTGTCCAAATCATGATTTCTTCTGCTGGTTAGACTGTGACAAGCTCATTTAGATGACACCGCCAAGGAAGCCTCCTGAGGATTGTGGTCTGTCTGCTACCTCTCAGGGCTACTGTGGCTTCTATGAAAGAATTTTTTCTCATTCTGCCTGGATTTACAGTTTGCAACTGTGGCTTTATTGCAATGTCATTTTGCTTTTCATAAAACACACTACCACTGCTAGCAACAACATTGGGACAGCGTGATAGTGGCCTCTTAGAATCCTCGTCCTCCCTTCAAAAGCCCACAAGCTGCCCGTTGCATTCCAGTCTGATGTGCTGAAAGCCTTTGGCCAAGGCTGGTTAAGATTCCAAAGGCTGTCTCTGCCTTTCCACAGTAAGCACTTTGCCTTCTGTGCCTTATACCTTTGCAAACTTGTGTGGATTTTCTTTACTGTATGATAATTTCAATGTTTCAAATTGCATTGAAAGCTCTTCCAAAAATGGGACTGTGGTTTCTGCTTTACCCAAATGCACACATAGCATCTCGATTCTCTGAAACCCCCTGAAGACATCGTGGGTTATATAGAGAAAGGAGGGCCCTTGGTTAATATTAATCCACTCTGGAAGGACCTGATGAGACTCTTTGGCAACATTTGAAAATGCTTATTGTAGAAAGAAGCCTGGTTTTCTGTTCCCAGAATCATCCCTTGGGTGGAAAGGTGCACAGGCTCCCTTGCTCTTTTCCTTGCCCCCGTAAATCTCCTGAAGCCCATTTCTCAGGTTTTCAGAATAGGAACCATCATTGGTGGTTCCACTGGAAATCCCAACCTGGTTCTAAATGAAGTCAGTTCAGATCAACGTGCCTAACTAGCCATATTTGTCATTTCTATTCCAGAGAATCTGGTCTTGGACATGAGGGCATGTGGTACATTTAGGGTATCAAGCGGACTTTTTTCTTTCTAGTGTCTAAGTTTTTACATTAAATAAACATAGAGCTGGAGGCAGAAAAAAAAATATCTCAGGAACAGCTGTGCTGCGTGTGTGGGAAAGCCTTGCTCCTATGTGAGGGCCCCCTTTCAGCCTCGCTGGAATCCCACTCCCTGCTGCCCCTGCCATAGCTCTTGTTCCCTCCTGTGTCCAGCCTGGGGCCCTTGAAAGCTGTCAAGATGACACCCACAGCTCCTCCTGCCTCCCATCCCTGGAGCTTCCCGGGACCCTGGCCCCCGCAAGCCACACGCTAGGAAGTTCTTTTCGACTCTGTGGTATCACAAAGAGAAGATTTCAAGGCTACAAATAAATTGATGCTTACCTCATCCTCACAAGAAGCCTCTACGGTGTCTACAGGTGTGCCCAGGAAGGCTAAACGCTGTGATACTTGGTCTTCCTAAACTTGGCCCCATAAGACCCGTGAAGTAGGCGCCCCCCAGTGGCCAGCTGCCATTCCTCTTTTTTGGATGTAATCCATGAAAAATTCAAGAAGGAATTCTTTTCACTTTAATAATAGGTCCTTGTTTACTGTTTAAACCATTCTATAAGGATTTTTTTAACTCTCAACATCAAACATATTGGTGCACAGCCAATTTAAAGAGGCTTAAGTGTACTCTGCACTCTGCCATCCAAATTCAGTCAAAAACTATGCTTATCACAAATACTCCACTGTGGTCATGGAGAAACATTGCCACATCCTAAGTGCTCAATCCTTGGCTTCTGATTAGCTTCCCAATTGTGTAAGGTTTTATAATTACTTGCATTTATTATGAATTAAATACTGAGTTTATTAAAGTGTACTTAATACCCCAAACTTCCCTTCTATTAACATATGGTAACTTTCTGAAAACTTCAATGCCAGAGGCAGTATTTGTGCTCTAATACCAGCTTTCAGTTCTCAGTATGAAGAATTAACATAGAATATAATACTTTATAAAGGAAGCTGAGGGGAGGTCAGCCTGGCTGATGTTTTTCTTCCAAGAGCTTTGCCTCTGTCATTCTCTGTTGCACAAAAAGTATAACGCCAACAAATCAAATTGATTGCTTGTTTTTACAACTGGGCTTGATAAAAAGGTAAAAAAATGTTGAAATCAGCAAAAAGAAATAAGAGTGATAATGAATTGCAGATTTTTTCCTGTTGATAGAAAAATCATACAGATATTTGTTCTGTGACATGTTCTCAAACCCATGGCAGGAATTTCTTTTCTGTGATCCTTATTTCTGTGAGAAGTCCAGCCCTAACCTCCTTCTGCCCCTTCACTCCCACCCCAGGCACGCCCCATGCCTTCGCTGGAGTGCTGGCTCCCTCTCACCCCCATGTTGCCCACGTCTCAGTTCTTGTGCATGTGGGTGGACCCAGCCACCAGGCACCTTCCAAGACACCTCGAAACTACACCAACAAGCCCTTCTTTTTTCACCATGGGACTGATGATCTGTGTTACGTAGCTTCACCTGCATCATATAACATCTCCTTGAAATCCCTAAATTGTTTCTATTTCCCCTTAAATATATTGAGTTCCTTGAAACCAGAATGGCTTCATAAACATGCTTTCTGCCCCCTCACTGAATCCAGTACAACCCCTATCCCATGAATGTGTTTAATAAGCAGGTACTGAGTAAATGCTAGTGGACTCCATGTACTGTAGAGTTTTGATGGGGTCCTTTCTCACTTCTTCCTCTCATCTGGCTCTAGTTAGCACTCCCTCATCTCATGGAGGCCAATCTTTCTCAGGCTGAGTTAGATGTGACCTAGAGGACCTTCTCCAGATGTCCCAGTGTGGGGACATGTTCTCTGTGTAAATGATGGTGTGGATGAGAGGAGGAATGTGAGTGGGCTTCATCATGCCGCATCAAGATGCCTTGTTCATGTACACGGTGACTCCTTGACTCTGACATGCCTCCAGCTGTTTCCCGGTTGAAAATCATCTTTTAACTTTCACAATCCAACTCTCGAGAGCCTGCCTTTCCCACCAACTCCCCTAGTGCTGGCTGGTTGGGATTCCCATTTTGCATTATTACTTTTATTCTTGAGGATGGAAAGATCTTCAGTGAGTTCACTGTAGCCCTGTTTTGTTCATTGTACTTCTTTGGGCACTTGAAACACAAGATAAATAATTAGTATCGGTCTGCTTGAAGAAATATTGGTTTGCACCCACGTGTGGTTTCCTGGTGCAACTGTTCAGAAAACGTTCCACCCCCATTCTCACTGCAACTGGACTCCCTCCTAACTTGATGCTCTGAGTCCAGCTCCCAGTTGTGGCATCCTGCTCTGCATTCTGGTGGGTTCCCAGCCTCTACATATTGGCCTGGCATCCTGATGTCCTCACTTGTTGGATCTCCTTAGACACCTCTGCCTCAGGCACCTTCATGGGTCATATAGCAGCCCCTTCATCTTACCATTGCCAGTGATTCTCAGCCAGAGTAAGATGTGCACTAAGAGACCTTCTCCAGATGTCCTAGCATGAGGACGGGTTCTATGTGTAAAGGAATGTGTGGTTGAGAGAAGGGATGGTGAGTCGGCAGCCTTCATCACACTGCATTGAAATTTCTTGTTCCCATTCACCATGATTCCTTGACTCTGACATGCTTACTACATGAGATGCTACTTAGCATTCCAGAATTGTGAAACT